TTTATTTATTTTAAGTCAGGGGGTGTCAATATGTAGCTCAGGCTGGCTTCAAACTCTTGGCAATCATACTGCCTCAGCCTCAGGAGTGCTGGGATTGTAGGTATGCACCACCACGACCAGATCAAAAGTATTCTAATGATAACAATTCCTATTAATTTTTTGCTTCTTCTAATTTAAATTAAAAATTGACAAGGCTGGCTTTGATACAGGTACAAACTTGAAGGTGACAAAATGTGAGGTTACCTGGAACATCTCATTGATTCCTTCTCCGGTTTGGGCTGAGGTCTCAAAGTAGAGGAACCCTCTGCTCTCAGCCCAGAGCCGCCCTTCACTTTCATCTACACAGCGGTGCTTGGTGCAGTCGATCTGAAGGGGGGCGGGCAGAGAGAAAGTCCAACCTTGTCTCACTAGACCAAGCCCAGTGAGCTCTTTGTAAGTTCTTTAAGGAAGCAAAAAATATCTTTGTTTATTTATGCATTTGTTTGCAGTGCTGCTGCTAGAACCGAGGGCCTCACACATGCTACACAGGTGTTTGGCCACTGACTTATTTCCCAAGCCCAAAAACTATTTTTAATGAGCCCCAGCACCAGCATATAAAATTACCAGGAGCAAAAGAGACTGAACAAATAAAAAATTAAAAACTGAATTTCTATGTGATTTTTCAAGCACATTTCTGACTTCCTCCCTCAGGACAGCAGCTTTTCTCACTTGGGTGACAGCTGCTTCCTAATGCTTCTGCAGCCTAAGGGCCACACCCTGCTCGCCACAGTGCAGAGCCCATAGCCCACAAACGTGCTCCTCTGTGGGGCACAGCATGGTGCTGGGTCCAGCGGCTGCTTACTCACCACATGCTTCCCCAAGTAGGGTACTGGTACCAGAAACAAAAATGGGTGCAGACTCCGATATCCTAGGTTTGGGGCTTTGCTGTGTTTTGTGTCTTCTGTGATTTTTTTTTTTTTTTTTTTTTTTTTTTTTTTTGTGGAACCAGGGATTGAACTCACGCCCTTGCACTTGCCAGGAAAGCACTTATTCTCCTAAGCCATCTCCCCAGCCCCAGTGTTTTGTGTCTTAAAGACATTTTTTTTTGGGGGGGGGGCCTCTTTTTTTTCTGTGGTGGTACCAGGGATCGAACTCAGGACCTTGCGTTTGCCAAGCAAACTTACTCCACTGAGCTATCTCCTCAGCCTGAGACGTATATTTTTGATTACTATGCTAACGAATAAAGGATTTTTTTTCTTTTTCTCGGTTCCCCTACTACTTCATCAGTGCTTCAACAAAAAAGGTGAGCAAGCCAGACCCAGAGCAGTTACCTTGTTGGCGCACACCACAAAGACAATGTTGTCCACGTTTCCATGAGGCCCAAGCTCCTGTTTCATTTCTGCCAGCCACGTGTCCAGGGCGTCAAAGGACTCTTTCTGCCCCACGTCATAGACCAGAATCACGCCCTGTGTGTCCTTGTAAAACTCATTGCGGACCTTCAGGTGAAGCACACATGTAGGTTTTGTATTTTGATAAGAATGTATCTTACAATCACCAACTTAGTAAAGTACACTCTTTCATGAATTCATAGTACTTAATGTATTTCAATATTTTACTGGCCTTTAGAGGACTTTTTACAAAATCAAGGCAACATAATAAAAAATACCTATTTTGATGGAAAGACTTAAAATCTATTTCTAATGAAGCCTCCACCTTCACTTTTAGTTCCAATCTCCAGAGACAAGCCCTTTTACTTGTTAGTTGGCCTTAAAAGAAAACCCATTGTGTAAAGTTCTTCTTAGGAAGGTGAATGAACAATTAAAAAGAAGTTAGAGCAAAAAAAGCAGCAATATGAGGGTGGGGACAGCCCCTCCCATGTCACAGCCCAAAGCCAGCTTTCTCAGGGTCCCCAGGGTTCAGAGTATCCCTGACTCCTGAGGTCCAGGCACCAAGAACTCTGCACTCAGGACCTCAGTGTAATGCAAGGACATGGCCTCCGGGGGCACAAGGGTCTAGGTCCACACTACTAACTGTGTGGTCTCCAGCAAGTCACTTAACCTCTCTATGCCTCAGTTTCCTTGTGTGTAAAATGGGGATATTACCTCACAGGGTTACTCTGAGCTTCAGTGAGATAATGAAGGCAAAGCCCTTAGTACACAGTGCCTAGAAAACCTTCTTCCTGCATTCACTTTCGGACTGGCCTTTGTGTTTTATCAGAAATGCCTGGACCTCAGGAGTCAGGGATGCTCTGCACCCTGGGGACCCTTAGACTGGGTGTGGTGACGCACACCTGTAATCCCAGCACTTGGGAGGCTAAAGAAACAAGAGGGGGCCAGGGATATAGCTCAGTAGAATAAGTGCTTGCCTGGCAAGCGCAAGGTCCTGAGTTCAATCCCTGGTACCAGCAAAAAAAAGGAGGATCACTATGAGTCCAATCTGTGCAGTGAGACCTGTAGACCCTGTACTAAATATATTAAAACAAAAGAAAAAGAAAGAAAGAAAAGCTATCCCTCTAGGGCATAGCTACAAGCCCAGGAAGAGGTGGCATTAAGGATAGGGCAGAAGTATACCCTGAAGTGGCAGGGACCACGAGAAGGTAGCTGGGTGAAGAGGCTCTGGGTGAAAGTGTGGTAAGGATCTTGATGGAGACCAGAGTCATGGTTGCTTTTCACATGATCCCAGAACGTTATCAGCTCAAGCTGGACATGTACTGAGAAACTCAGATGCCTTACATGCCTGGATTGTGGGTTCTGAGGACAGACACCAGGACAGACACCTGGACCGAGAATGTAAGGGTCTATTAATTCACAGATGCCTAACACACTGTGCCCCAAGAGAGCACCCACAAAAATCCAAGGAACTGAAGCCTCTGGCCCTGAGTCCCTCCTCAGGCAGACAGGCTCAGCCCTCTGCTGCAGCTTCTGCCTTGGCCCCAACACACCGCCCTGGGCCTCAAATTCTCTCCTGCCAGCTCTCCTCTGCAATAGCTCTGCTCCTGCTCACCACAAAGGCTCTAGCTCCCGTCCTGGGCTTGACGGCTTAAATCTGGAAGGTCCCGCCAAAGGCTCCTATGTTCAGAGGCAGACTGGTAGGGTAACTGGATAGTGGGGGTCCCTGCTCAGTGGGGTGCTGTTAGGACATGGGGTCTGCTCAGAAAATGGGGTGATGTGGAAGGGTGCACCTTACTCCCTGTCTCCTTTCACTGTGCTTCCTGCCTACCCGGATGAGCTGACCACAGACTGAAACTGTGAACCAGAAGCCTCCACTCTGTTTAGTTACAGAGTCAGGGACTGTGTCCCAGCAACCAGGAAGTGGCTAAGACCTGTGCCCTCCTCCTTTGCGGATGTCTCCTCCTGATCTAGCAAAGGAGGCTGTCCAAGATGAGCCTTCCTATGGGAAGCATCTGGTCTAACATCCTCTCTGGTCAGTACCAGGTCCTGGCAGCTGAATCTCTTGTTGGAACCTCATCTTCCATGTGTACAACAGGAAAGCCTTCTACTCCTTCCTCTGAAGCTCTCGGACATCAGCAACAAATGACCGTCATCCTCTGGTCATTCAGGATGAAGGTGTGTTGTCAGGGTTTTTTTTTTTTTTTTTTGCAGAACCAGGGATTGAACTCAGGCCCTTGTGCTTGCCAGGGAAGTGCTTATTTCACTGAGCCATCTCCCCGGCCCCAAGGTGTGTTGTCTACTTCCGTTGCTCTCTTCTTTTACCAGATTCAGGACCTGTACAAGCTAGCTCTGCCATGTTTCCTCACCTGTCATTTCCTTCTGGTCTCATGTCCAGCATTACCTCTTGACTGCACTATTAAGAGTCAGCCAAGTCGTCTTCGTAGAAGCACAATACACTGTGTATGTTTATCTTTCTAAAGCCCTGGCTCATAATTTCCTTGGTGTTTCTCCCATGCCAGCTCTCCAAAGTTCAAACTCATTTAGACAAAGTTAAAAGTTTCAGTCAATCCTTGCCAACCAGGACTGGGGAAATGGCTCAGTAGAATAAGCACTTCCCTGGCAACCGCAAGGGCCTGAGTTCAATCCCCAGTTCCACAAAAAAATCCTTGCCAACCTCAGTCTTATCCCTTCACTATCCTCTCACCTTCAAATTGGATAATCTCGGGGGCCTGCCCATTAGCTCAGTTGTTTAAGTGCCTGCTCAAGCAAATGCAGTCAGGTGCAGGTTACAGGGTTCAAGTCCTACCTCCACCTGCATTACCAGACCTGCCCTTATGGCAGCTTGAGCCTGTCAAAAAAAAAAGTCATTCTCAAATTACATAATCTCTTTCTCTTTACCTGTCCTAAGCCTTGCAAACTCCATCTGGAAAGAGTTTTCTGTATCTTTGATCTTGCAAGATCTTGGTGTAATGCTAAATTGCCCATGAAGGTTTTTGGCCTGGTGCCTCATCATCTGACCCTTTCCCATGAGTAGAAGGTAATGTCTGTGTTCCTTAGGACACCACAGTCAAGTATACTTCTCTCTCTCTCTTTTTTTTTTTTTTGTGGTACTGGGGATTGAACTCAGGACCCTCCACTTGCCAGGAAAGCACTTATTCTACTGAGCTATCTCCCCGGCTCCTTGCCAAGTATACCTGTAATTGTGCTCCTGCCACTCTCACGGCTGGTGGCACATCCAGCTGTCTTCCACTAGGCTGCAGACAACACAAAGGACTGTGTCTCAATACATCTGTGCTTGGGTCACTCATGAGGACTGACAGATACAAGTGTTTGAGACTCTACAGAACTGAATGGAGGGCTGGCCTGATAGCTTGCAGACTAAAAGTGCCTGCTTAGGCAGAGCACAGTGGCCAGGGTTCAATCCCTGGCGTGCCGTGCCGGCCCCACCTGCGGTGTATGCTGAGACAGCAATGAGAATGGTCATGGTGGCGTACGCCTGTAATCCCAGCACTTGGGAGGCTGAAAACAGGAGAATCACTATGAGTCTGATCTGTGTAGTGAGACCCTGTAGACCCTGTCCTAAATACAGGGGGGAAAAAATGAATGGCTGCTTGGGTCTCAGTAGAGAACAAAACTAGTGGCCAAGGAGGGAAAAATTTCAAATACAGGTCATGTTCTCCAGTGACAGGTGCAGGTATAAAAGTAAAATGGTGCAAGCCCAATGAGTTTCTTTGAAGAATGCAATTTCAAGTTTGAGTTCAGCAAAGAAGTTCCTACACAGTCTGGAGTAAGTTACTTTATTAACCCTAAACCTGAATGCCATCTGTAGAATGAAAAGACAAAGTAGATGTTTCCCTACAGTTTCATTATTCTGCTGTTAGTCCTAGCAGGCTCAATGCATTCAAGGTTTAAAAAGACACGATGCTAAAAGGATGGGGATTATTTCTTAAAGCAGATGTGGTAAAAAGTTGGTGTGATGGCTAAGAACATTGTTATTTTAACATTATTGGGGCCTCAGGAAGTTCCTGTGAGACCCTCTAACTCAGACCTCAGGTGAGTGGTTCAATGAAGCAAGGCTAGGGCCTGAGACAGGGCCCACTCCTCTGAGGTTCTCCCCCTAACTGCTCTGAGGTTGCCATCTCACATACTAGGCCAACTGCCCTGTCCCAGCAGACCCTGCAGAAAACCTGTCAAGAGGACTGGTGACAACGGATGCTTCAGTGGTAGACAGGAGCAAGGGTTCAGGAAGCCAGAGGTCATGGGCAAGGCTATGATGTTTCACTGGCTATGTGCTGAAAAAAGATGTATGTGGTCAGCCTGGCACTTAGAAAGCTGATGATGGCTTTAGTTTTGCCAACAAGGAGGGTTTAAATGGTTCACACCTGTAATCCAGCATTCAGGAGGCCAAGACAGAAGGACCGCAAGGCTATACAGACAGTGAGACCCTTGTCTCAATAAAACAAACAAGTGAATAAAAGAAAGGTTCAATACACAAACAGTACTATCAGAGAGCAAGGCTATTTTAGTGAAAAGATACTTTAGAGGTAGTGATTTAAAGGTGCTTATTAATTACACTTCTATTTTTATAGAAAACCAGCTGTTATTGCCTGTTTTGATGTGTCCCCTGCAAAGTCTCAACGCAGTCATAGGTGGGGCTTTTTCAGAGGTAGCTGGATCTGGAGTGTGTGATGCTGGGATTGACTTACGGTACAATGTTAAGCACAAGGGCACTAAAAGGAAGGGTGTGAGTGACACCCTAAGTAGTCTACATAGGACAAAAGGGGCAGAAAGATGCTGGCAAGGCCCACTGCTGGGCCTTTGCTACCTAGTCTGCCCACCACAAACTGTTCTCCTCTGCCACATGTTACCCTGCCTTGGAGCCAGCTGCTTATGGACTGAAATCTCTATAAACTGTGAGCTAAATAAACCTTTCCTCCCTTAACTTTGGCCATTGGGTTTTTGTCTCAGCAATGAGAAAAAAGCAATGAAGACTTCAGCCAGTGCCATTTGAGGCTGCATTAAAAGCCTAATATCTAAAGACAGAAAGTAATAGGAATCCTCAGAGTGGGTTCTAACTATTTTCAAATAGTTAGACAAGTCCCAGGATGCTTGAGGGGCCATCTACAAAAGATGAGCCAAGGACACAGCCATGGTGGGAATATGGATGATTTCCCTGAAGAGAAGCAGACTCTAAAGAGCAGAAAAGCTCCATTGTAGAAACACAGACACAGTCCATGTGTCTCCAAAACCAGGGCCAGAATCATGGTGGTTCAAGTCACAGGACAAGTTTCTGATTTGGAGCTTCCAGCATGAGCTCAGGAAGCAGCAAGACCCCATCACCAGAGGTATTCATTCTTCCAACTCTCATCATCCTCACTGTTCAGACTGTGTGGGGCATAATTCTGTCCCTAAGAGTCCCAACCTACAAAACTCTTACATATCCATCAACTCCAGTGTCAATCCTGTGTCCTGCAGCAGGGCTTCCTGGCCTCTGGGAGAAGATGCATCAGGATATTAAGTGCTCCAAATTGGTCAAGCAATGGCTGTGACTCGTCCAGATGGTTGACACTGATAAGAGATCTACAAACTGCTGTACATGGTTTCAGGGTAAATCCTGAGAAGATGTGACTGACCTTGTTAGATACAAAAGTTACATTTTTAGTTATATAGGTCTTGCTTTGTCTTGGTCTTAACCATCCAGCAGAAAAGTATAAATATTAGGTTTAAAAAGTAAAGCCATATTAATAGGCTGAGCTGTAAAAGGCTCAAGTCAGCAACTTCTGACGTTGCCAGTTCTGCAGATAACCTACTACTATTATGGACTATTGGACTATATTGGATTATTTTGCTGAATTCATGCACCTACAATATTTGAATGGCAATGGAACACCCATCTTTAACAAAACTAAA